CTTATACTTCTTATTCTTTCCTGTTGCCATCTCCTAAGAATTGGTTTTTTTAGTTTTTTAGGGTTTTCTCTTTTTTTTTCTTTTTTTCCAATATAGTTTCCTTAAATTATATTTTACTATACATAATTATATTTTGTTTTATAAGAAGATTGATTGATGAAAAGGAAGTTATTGTGTAATTTACTGAACTTAATAACCAATATGAGTTATCAATCCTCACAACTCCCTGAAGATGAATCTATTAACAGAAAACTACTACAAGAAACTAATAGATCACTGAAAATAGCACAAGCAGAATTAACTGTAAAAAAAGTCTATAAAACTATGGAATATGAAAAGATGATGAAAATTTTAAATGAAAGGAGAAGGGATGTTGTTGTGGGGTTATCTGTACAGAAAAGTGAAGAGTCTCAACAAAGCAAACCAATAAAAAATGATGATGTTACTTCACCAAAACCACAAATTAATAACAAAGGAATACCATTTTTCTGGATTAGAGCATTAAGTGCTGTTAGTTTGTTCTTATCTTATAATACAGTAGAAGAAGACTTAGTTGCTTTGTCGTACCTTAACGATATCAAAATAACAACATTAACACCATCATTTGATATGAAGTCATTAACAATCAGAATGGGAAAGGAATTATCATTCTTTTTTGATAAGAATCCATATTTTACTAATGACCATTTTACAATTAGAATGATATATCGAGCAAATGAAAGTGGAGAACGTATTGGTTCAACTGGAAGAATTAAAGTTATAACAAATGGAATTGATTGGAAAGTGAATTTATTAGAGATTAATTCATCATCATTTTTTAATGTGTTTATACAAGAATTAGTCAATGAAGAAGATTATGAAATTCTTGATTCAGTTTTTGATAACTTTAATACTAAAGCCATCCAATATTTTTATCAATTCAATTAATACTATTGTTTAATGTTATTTTGTTTGATATAATTTTTAGAAGAACTTAAAAAAATTGAGTTGTATGTCAATAATTCCATCACGTCTTGATTATATCAATTGTAAAGATGTGGTTGAACTAATTACAAACAATAGTAATAAGAAAAGGTTTATTATTATTGATGTACGTGGAAATGATGTTGGTGACTTAGTCATACATACTGCAATCAATATCCCATCACCTAATTTTAAAGATACAGCAACGTCATTAGCTTCAATATATAAAGATTATGATTTGATTATTATTCATTGCATGATGTCACAAACAAGAGGACCAACATGTGCAATGATATTAAATGAATGTTTTAAGAATGAAAAATACAAAGAAAGTCATGTTCAAATAAGAATTCTTAGAGGAGGTTTTGAAAGATTTTATTCAGAGTATGGTGAAAGAAGAGAATTATTTGATGTAGTACATTAACAAAAGAAAAGAGAATGGAGTTAATTAGAATTGAATGATTTTTTTTTTGTTTTATGTGAAATAAGTAATAAGAGATAACAATTTATAATAACAAAAAATTGTTATATGAGGTATAATGGATCTAAGATCTTTTAGTTAATGTCAGGAGAAGATTTAACCCAACCAAATTATAATTTGATTGATAATAAAGAAGATCAAATCGAATCAATCAATTGTCCAGAACCATCATTTCCTTGGTTTTATAAATTATGGAGAGTTCAAGGATATTATAATTTATTAATATTAAAATGTTATCCAATCATTCAAGTATTTGTTATTGCATTTCTTGGTATTTTCTTGATTTATTTAGATTATTCCACATTTATTGGATTTCCATTAAAACCAATTACAACAAATGATGGAACATTACCATCATTTTTTGACTTTTTTGTAACAAGTAGCTTAAGAAATGTACTTGTAAGTATTGTTGGAATATTTGTAATTATTTCATTAATATATTATGGATATAAATTATATAAAATAATGAACGATGAAAATTTATTAAATGCAAATAAATTTTTTAATGATAGAAAAGTTTTGTCTGTTGGAGGAGATTGGAATAAAGTAAAAAGAATGTTAAGATATTCACAAAATACAGAAGCTGAACTCGACCCTGAAGGATTTACTACAAGTACAATAATTATGACATCAGGATATTTTGATGGAGATGTTGAAATTGAAAATGATTCTGAAAGTAGTGAATCAATCAATGAAATAAAAGGTGTTAAACATGAAGAAGGAGAAGTTAAAATAGAAGGATTAGAAGAATCACCAAAGAAAAGTAAACAAAAAGAAGAAAATTTATTTATTAAAAGATGTACATTAAGTAATGACTTAATGAGTAAATTAATTACACAAAGAGAAAATGAATTAAGAAAAGGAAGTCGTTATTTATATAAGATTATTAAAGATATTTATTTCCCTAATAAAGAAATAGATTTTTATAAATCACTTATTCAAGAAGAACATAAATTTCATACTTTAAATGAAAATCAATGGAAAGAGAGAATTAAAAATAAAGTAAATGAATATAAAAGATGGTATATACAACCTATTGTATTAATAAAATTATTATACAATTTAATTGTATTATGTTTAAAGTACTTTGGTATATTATTATCTCCATCTTTGTTATTAAAAAAACAATGGACATATTATTCACATTATTTATTAAGACAAACTCATGAACTTGGACATGAGACTGAAGTTAGAATGAAAAGTGCAGAAGATGTAATCGAAGGAATAATTTCTTTAACACCAATTGACCAATTTAATAGAGCAATAATGAGAAATTTAAGAGCAGTATTTATGTTAGTATTTGTTGTATTCTTTACTTTAAATATACGAAGTGAATTTCAATTATTTGGAATAAGTAGTGCAGTTATTTGTAATATACTTCTTACTATTGTAGTTCTTTGTTATGACAGTAGTCAAAAAGAAATTCAATCACAAACATATGACAGCGCAAGAGATGCTTTAACAGAATGTTTCCCTCAATTAAAAAATATTGTAAGAGAAAATAGTAAGCAAAAAGATGTTATTAATTATATTAAGAAAAACATGTATAAAGAATTATATCAATGTCTTATTGATGAAATCATTGCACCATTAAAAGTGTATAAGATATTAAAACAATGTGGAACTAACTCAGATGTGAGTGAAATATTACAAAATGTAATAAAACCAGTAATAGAAGAATAATTTTAATTGTTTGATGTTTTTTGTTATTTTATTTATTTTTCTTTTTCATTTATGATATTGTATTTTGCCTTTCTTAAATATTTTC